TCTTTTCTGGATTAGTGTTTGTAAAGATGCAGGTATGAACCTACGTCTGCTTTCCTAAGCCTGAGTATTGGGCTCGGAGCCTCAGCATCTGCAGTCATGGCTATTCTAATGTGTTCTTGCAGGCAGATGATATAGCATCCATTATTAATGTTGTTTGATAAGTCTCATTAAAAGGCCTTCTTTCTACTTATTTATAATTTTGCCAAACTTGACTCCATAAAGCTGAAATTGTTTTTGCTTTTGGCTAGTTCTTTTTTATTTAAGATAAAAAAGATTTCTTCTTTCCCCCAAAATGGAAAAATATTGTCTTGCTCATGCTACAAAAGTCTTGCAACTTTGTTTTTTAAATGCCCAAGAATCTGTATGCTCTGGAGGAGGGTTTCTCACCTTTGCAAAGGTGCTACCCTGCTGGACCTTTGGGGGAAAAAAGTGCCCATTCTCAAGTACTCAGTGCAGAGTACTTACTAGAGTTTGGCAGCTAAAATTTCCAAGGACTCCCTTTCCCTGGAACAAGGTAAGGCTCCTCATAGGAGCCCAATGGGGCTATCCATGTGCCGGCTGCAAAGAGTAACTAGACATGTTGCAGCTCAGGGCTATGTGGACTCACAGACATTACTGCTGCAAAACGCACGGGGAAGGCTCAGCCAGTGCTGCATGCAAGAGAAGGAAGCCCTTCCTTCTCCGGCACTCCTGGTGGATGCGCCCGGGATCCAGGTTGTCCTGCAAAGGAGGCAACTCAACACGAATGTGGAGGAAAGAAGAGGGAAGAGGAGGAAAGAAAAGAGAAGGTAAAAATCAGGGCAAGATGACATTGATGTGTAGAGGGGGAGATGAAAAGAGAAGATGGAGGATGATTAAGCAAGGGAGAGTTGGAAGTCAATGAATGGGGAGATGTTTGGCTGGATGGGGGGCACAGAGGGAAGAGGTCCTCTTGCCTGGTCTCTGGCTGGATGAAAAGGTGAAGGAAGGAAGGAGAGACAGGTTTCCTTTGGAGGAAGAATTTGCTGTTAGGAGGAGGCAGAATGGAGAAAAGGTCAGAGAGAGAATCTTGAGGGGGAAAAAACACAAAATCAAGATCTAGCAGGATGGCTTAGACTGCTGAGGCAGGGAACCTGGGACAAGGAGCTGGGGCAGCCTGGCTGGGTAGGAAGGACACTGAGAAAGTGCGCACAAAGCTGGCATTTTGGGGAGAGTGGAGAACAAGGAGACTGAGAGTAGATAGCTGGGCCTGCTTAAGTGAGGAGAATGAGGAAATAGAGTGGGTTTGGGAAGGGTTAATGAGCCTCTCCGAGCAAGAGAAAAAGTGGAAGCATGCGAGGATGGGGGAGAGAAGAGAAGACGGGGAAGTACTGGGAGTTGAACAGTGAACTTGGAAGATAACTGATGCAAAGCAACCAACCATAAGGTGAGAAAAGGGAGGACTGGACCATGGCAGTAGGTGAGCAAAGAGATTGGAGAAAGAATAAAGAGCAACAGTTGGGTAGGAGACAGGACCGGAGGGAGATGCCGTTGCAGGGAACTCCACAAGGATGTAGGCAGAAAGCCTTGCAGTAGCTGGGCAAGGATTCCCCCGAGAAGCTGGAAGGAAAATCTGCCTGGCAGCCCAAGCCCAGAGCAGGGGTGATCTCGGGGTGCTCTCAGGGCCCTGGCACCAGGAAAGGGAATTACCAGAGTCTCCCTGTACTCACACTGCTACTGCAAACGCTCGCTCTTGGAGCTTCTGTGGCAAAGATCTGTGCACTGCGGGTGTCCATACGATGCTCCTTTGGGGAAGCGTGGTGTGGGAGGGAGGAGCCCTACAAAACCATGCAGAGAGATGCATTCTTAAACGTGTATTCTGTAGACTACAAGTCAAGCTGTAAAACATGGAGGAATTCCAACGGCAGTAGCATGTAAAGCTTCGTTCAGCCCTGTTGGTGCGATTAGATAGTACACCGTGCACTATTTAGACAGTACTTACCATTATTGTCAGCGACTGTCTCTGGGGAATTGCAAACCCCAGACCAAGCTAGCGTACAGCTTGCTCTGTGCTCTGCAAGGTGTGAGTTCACTTTCCTGGCCCAAGTATGGCTAAACTACATCCTGAAGTGGCCACAGGTACCAAGTTGTCCCATAATCCTGCCTTCACATTACTTGGAGTCCTCCTAGGAAGTAGCCTTCAGCTGACTCTGGCAGAAGGTACATGGTGTTGCTAAAATCCTGTTGAGATGTGCAGTGGCAGACACAGGTGGAGCATGTACATCCACACCTGAGCTTGTCCATCTACTGCAAGAAGGGAAAGACAAACGCGTTTGCCACGTTCATATCTCTGTGACCAGGAAAGGATTGTATGTATGCATGCAGCAGAGCTGAGGGACCACACACGTATGTGCTTGAATGTTCATATACACAATTGTGGAGGAGAAAAAATCAAGGTAAAGTCCTTTGCACTTAAAATGCACAAAGTTTGTGATGAACCCTAGACTTGATAAGAGCTATTCCGCAGCCTTCTGTTGTTCTTGGAAATACCGTCTCCTGTTAGAGAGAGAGGTTTGTTACCATTGTAGAGAGTTTCATGTTTATCCTATAAATGAAATGATCTTTTTAAGCCATTGCGGGCTTCATGAAGAGAACCAAAACCTTGAAATTGCTTCAGTCTTCTGTGGCAAGGCAATATGGTGAGCTGAGGACAGGTCTGCTTATTAATACAGGTTTCCATTAATGTTTCTCCTGGAGGTGAATATTAGCTATAATTGTTTATGCTGGACATTGACATTAGCTATTTTCAATTTTACGGACAGACAGGGCCTGCATGTGCATCTGTCACTGAAAATCAAGTTACATGAGGCACATCTAAAGATAGATCTTAGACCTGTGGGTAGTCATATGTGTGCACCTTTATTCCTCTTCATCCTTTTGGTCCCCCACTTTGTTGTTCACAGTAGCACATCCCTGTGGCAAACATAGATAATGCTTACTAGGAAAATTAATAAGAATAAGGTATTTAATGTATTTCTACCCTTTAATGTATTGTAGCTGTGGATACAACGCAAAAAGCAATGCCACATGACCATGCTACTTTGGGAATGGGCTATAAACTGCAGTTAAAATAGTTTCAAGATATGTATGCAGTGCATAAGTCACGTGAATGGAAGTTTATCACAATCAGTAGGAATGTTGGATTTTCATATCACACATTCACTGCTTAGGATGATTAGCAGGAAATTTAATTTGCACTAATTAGCCTTAGGGGAGCAAAAAATTAACTTGGTGGGTTAATTTCATGTTTTACTATATACCATTCGAACATGGAAAAATTTGAGTTAAAGCCTGAGTTGAGTCCTATGCTGGTACACTGGACTTCAGTTTTTCTAAATTAAATTAAAAGACTGTAGAAAATTAAGATATGCATGGTGAGTGGGTGGGTTTTTTTAGGAGCTAGAGTCATAGCAGTCATTGAATTATCAGCCACTTCCAGAGAATATGGTATATTTTTGTACATTAAATTACATTAATATCTAATATTACAGCAAAAGCTTTAACAAGTCCTAATTTTTTATATTTTCATTATATAATGTGCATTATGACTGCACATGCAATATTCCACACTGTAATGCACAAAGCAGAAACAATTTTCACAGAACTGCTGTGAAAACACTATACTTTTTAATTTACAACACCCACTTGCAAATACATTTTTAGGGTCAGGAGCCTTTGTCTGTATGCTGGCAAAATTCCTATGAAAATAATTTTTTTAGAAATTACTCTCAAAAGTATACAGCAAATGAGGGAGGCATGAGTCACCACAGTATCTCAATAGACAAATAAGGATTAGGAACTAAAAGACTCTAATCCTGCCTGTTGATGGTGACTCTCATTCTTGCAAAACACAGTTTAGATCACTTGGTTTTTCCCTCTGTAAAATGGAGGCAATTTTTATGTATCCACCACTCAGAATTATTGTGGATTGATTAATACATGCAAAGCAATGAGTCACTCGGTATGGAAGTATTGGTCTATTATAAACTGAAGTGTTCTGTCATACCAGGCTTGTGGTTGCATTCGAATTTATCTTTAAAAAGGAGATAGAAAACATCAGCTGCGTATGAGATAATTGCCTTTGGTGCCAGTGCTTCTGCTAGTTTGTGCAGAAATCTGGAATAAACCCAGAAGCTCACTATTGCTATTATATATCTGGAATTAGACCTTGTTGTACTTACCTGAAACTGCTATTGAAGTGAGTGATATGACTTCAGTGAGAGTTTTGCCTGAGGAAGTATTGCAGAATTGGGTACCTTGCGTCCACAGTTTGGGGTTTAAGTGGTGCATATAAGCTAGTTCAGGCATCTGCTCAGACTTTTTAGCCTACGACATAAATACTTCTGGTCTAAAGATAGATCTTAGACCTGTGGGTAGTCATATATTGTGTAACATAAATCATATTGCATTCTCAGGTCCTTCTGATTTCTCAGCAGTAGCCCTTCTATTCAATCAAGAATGTGTGTGCATGTATGTGTGCGTATGTGTGGCTGGGTATATATAAATATACATGTGCCCACACATAGATAAACATATATGTGTGCACAACTCCCCTACATAAATGTCCTTTGCTTTTTTGGGTGTATGAGTATATTTCTGTAAGTGCTCACCGCTTGTATTTATACATTTATGAGTAATATCCAACTTTCAGTCATAATTGACACCATGTGGCTTTCTGTATAATAATTACCTTGGGACAAAAAACCTTGCAGATGGTTTCAAGAGTGACTGTAACTCGCCATCAATGTAAAAAGATTAAATAAGATGAGCCCACTCCCTCTGAATGGAGTAAGCCATTTTCATTGATTTCAATGGGAGCAGGCGCATCTTCATTTCTACAGCAGACAGAGAACATGTATTATATTCGTTAAATTAAAGTTTGATTTCATTGCACTTAAAATTATTCATGTTCTGTTAGCAAATGGTTTGAGATTTTATAACCGAGAGCATTTGCTGAATTCTGCTTTGTATTTTCCTCACAGCAATTGGAAGGACCCTCATTCCTCGTTATTTTAGCACTGTCTTTGAAGGAGGTGTAACAGACCTGTATTACATTCTCAAGCACTCAAAAGAGTCATACCACAACTCATCCATCACAGTGGACTGTGATCAATGCACCATGGTCACTCAGCATGGAAAACCCATGTTTACCAAGGTAACAGGGAAGACTCAATAAAGCATGTTGTTGGTTTGGTTTTTTTGTTGGTTTGGTTATTTTTTTCTTTTTCAGTGTGTATAAGGATGAAAAATATTGGCTGTTGCATTTTTCTGGTAGACTGAGATTATTTCTAATACTGAAACCCCTTGAAGCCTTTTAATTACTATTTTCTATATTCATTATGTGACTGGAAAATTCTGTGGGCATCCTCTGCAATTCTGCCAGAAAGCTTGCAAGAGAAGCACATAATGCCAGATTGCCAGAACCATCAGTTAAACATGAATTAAATTCAGCCTGCCCATCTCCTTTTCTCTGGGCTTGATTTTAAAGCAACAATGAGATTTCACATTGCTTGGACCTACCATTTGGGTGGTATGCTTTACATTTGATACTTACCCAGTCCAAGGACTATAAATCTCTAGGAAAATAGTGATTTAATACAGTAGGATGCCAGTCCAAAGGGCAGTGAAGTCAATGGAAGGAGTCAATTGATTTAAACATGCTCTAGATCAGGCAGTTAGTGAATATTCAATATTTGTAATTGATAGTGAATTATCTTCATGCGTTGGCCACTTCTAGTCCTGTAATTAAACTAAGTGCTATATATTTATAAATAACAGTACCAAAAAGGTGGAAAAAACAAATGAAAACAATTTTTTAATATATTTAAAAAACTCAGTAAACTGATTTTCAAAATGGAAATGTACTCTTTCCTAAGTTAACAGGAAATGATGATTTTCCTTCTTGAACCTGTTCGTCTGTATGAATTTCAACCTTTTCATGGAGAAAAGCACAAAAGGAGAAGGGGAAGCAGGAGGAGATAACCTGTCCATGTTGCCTTTGGCCTGCAGGACTGCAGAGGTTTTAGAGTCAAAAAAGGCACCAGCGGTCGACAGCATCATGACCAAGGCCCAGACGGCTTACACTGTTTAAGCATGCATGCGAGTCCCACCCCTTCGTAGAGTTTTCTCTGCCATCTTCACGGCTCTTGGAGTGGGGCTGAAAGAAGAGGGAGAGGAAGCCGCTGGTGTGCGGAGCAGTAGTGTGCTGGGAGGTGTGCGTTTAACGGTGTCGTCGTTCCAGCTCTCCCACTCCAGCCCCCTGTGACTTCCACAGACACAGAGAGAGAGATGCAGAGAGACCACGTATTCCTAGGTAGCACCTCATTGCCACCTCACTGCTCACGAGGAGTTGTGTGTGCTGACCAAGTGCAGAGGATGTGACGAGAGTATACGGTAGCTGCTTCTTCACGTAGCTCCCTCAAACGATTTCTGTGTCGTTTCCCTTTGCGTTAGCTTTAGTGCAACAGCAAACGAAAGAGGTTTTTTTTGGAATCAGTAGATACAACGTGCTTTTCTCAATTCAGTTAATTTATTTCACTTATCATGGCAGCACATTGCAGTGTTGCTACTTTGGAAAGGAGGCTAGCATCCAGCAAGTCAACGACAGCCTTAGGCGGGCACCAGGCTGGGTGCACACCTGGTGTGAGGTGGCCACAGTCGCGTCCCGTAGCACCGTCCCGCTGCGTGCGGGGAGCCTCTCCCTCCGCTCTGCAGCCCTGGCAGTGCACGGACTGCCTGACGGTCCTGTTGCGGATTCCAGTATGGACCTCCGTATCCCAGTAGAAGAGTTCAGGTGGGGATGTGATGTGCATTCTAGGAGAAGAATTAGGGGGGTTTAATGGCTGCATATTTAAAATATGACTGTGTTAGTAAGAGGAAATTTGATATAAAACACAGCAGTTGGTGGAATAAGGGAGGAAAGAATATATTACTCTCTCAGAAATAAGGTAGAGCCGAATGTTGTCTCAGCTGTGCGTGTGTAACTTTTAGCTGAGATACCGAGGGCACAGATCTTCTACATTCCTAATGTAAATTCCTAACTCTCACAGCACTGGTGGTGGGAGGAAGCAGGCTTGCCATAAGAAGCAGCACTCCAATGCATAGCTCCTTAGATCATGCCTGAATTTGACCCAGTGAAACTACCACGAAGGGGTTTTTTAATGCAAAAATACAAACTAACTTTATTTGTTAATAGCTGTCTCGGTTTCACAAACAACTTGTAAGCTACAAATTCACAAACTTCTAATGTAACAGGCTGAAACAGTTCTCATCAAATATTGAATCAGGAATCCACAGCTGCATTTTACTCATTTAGACATTTTCCTAGTTAGAGCAACTCACTGCATACTGCAGTATTGGACGAATATATAAAATGGCATTTCCAATTTTTTTTCCAAACAAATATGGCTAGAACATGCCTAACAGTAAGAATATGGATAGTCCAGCTTGTCTTTAGAGGGCAAGAGGTCTCTGTAAAGTGAGGCACACGCTTAAATTGTTTTATGAAGATATAAATAAATTTTATCAAGAATTTAATACAGTTGGCATGAATTAAACGTGGTAAAAGAGACTGAAGCCCTGATGACCATGTTTGTCTACCTGGCAGATGCTTCTTTTTTTTTTCTCCAGGGAGAGGAAAGCTTTAGGAGTCCTCCTAAGTCTCTGTTTTCACCATGTTTACCAACGCTCCAACTTTATGTGTAGGCAAACTGTTTTTCTGCAGCGAGCAATGTTTCTATTCCCCGGTAGATTGGCAGAGGCGAGCTTTGCCTTCAGCACTAGAGCCGTCAGCGCCCCGTGTTCGAAGCGTTCTCATCACGTGCCCAACTGTGGGGCCATCCGCTGGGTTTTGTAGGTGAAGCCCTTGAAACTCAGTGATTTTAATCCTTACTGAAAACCTCAGGCATTTCCCAGATTTGTATAAGCTTTATGTTTCTTTTCAAGCAACGACTCAGGTTTGAGAGATGGTCATTAATAAAAGGGGAAGGCTTCTAAAGGATGCCCGGCGTTAGGAGAGCGAGGCTCCGAGCAATAAGGCACAGGACCAGAGCTGGTTTTCATAGGTGCGAGCAGTTGAAATTCCTACAGTTAATAAGTGCAGCGAAGGGGTTAAAAAGCTATTGGTTAGTTTGAGAAATGTTCTTTTTTAGTTTTTTTCCTGGCCTAGTCTAGAGCAACCACGTGATACACTGAATGCCTGCCAGCCTCTTTCTTGTTGATCCTCCGGAGACCATCTGTGCTGGGGGCATTGATTAGAGTGTGTCTGCTGGGATTACATCTTTTCTGTTGCCATGCCAACTAATCAGCTGATTTTGGTTACCACAGAAACAAAATGTCAGAGCTCACAGTACGGTAACATGAATTCAGCACAACAGAAAATGTTTTCTTAATTGGAGACCCTTTTGATTTTTTGGATTCTATGTAAAAGGCTTTTTTGTTTTTTTAAGGAAAAAAAGAGAGACCTATTTAAAATAAGAACTGCGCCGATTTTATTGATTAAAAGTAGTGCGTAAAATTCTGCTCTACAGAAGGAAATTAAATTCCTTTATAAGATGTATAAATTTTTACCACTGTGATATGAGGTATGTGTTTCGATTTTTCTATTAAAATTTGTTAATGCCAGTGCACAAAATACATCTCTTAGGAGCTGTGGGGTTTTAAGCTTAACAGAAGAAACATTTGAGAAGCCACAGGTATTATTATAAAAAAATATTTTCAGCCCGAAATATTTTCATGTTCACCGGTCAGTAATCAGGATCTTTGGCCTCAACACAGGAACACTAATATAAAATGCTTTTTTTTTTTTATATTAATCCTTATGTGTGCACATGTGTACCCCTGCGTAATTTCTTATCATAGTGCAACTGATGAGAAAATCAAAATCAGAGTCAAATGACAAAAGTAAGTCACATCAAATATTTGAAGGCATCACTAGGGTATGTTTAAAAGGGCAGATGAGAACCTGTTGCAAGGTTCTCCTTCACAGGCCTACAGTAATTTGTCTATATAGTATACCTCTTAAAATTACCTGTGTGTTTTTGCAGAAATGACCAGGAGGAAAAACTATGATGATGTTAAGTGAACGGTTAACCAGAAAAGCCACACATTGCCCAAGTGGGAACTGGCCAAGTCTGAGTTGGGGCTCGTAAAAAGGCTCAACAGACTCAACTGAATCTGGGCTGCCAAGTTGTACAATCAAATATTAGTTGCATTAAAATTAAAGTTGCAGGAACCTTTTCTTTTGAAAGCTGTTGCACCCTGTTTCCACAACATCTCTGTACACTACACTTGCAAGTTTACTTTGAATAGGAGTTGTAAGTCTAAACATCCCATTTAAATTAAAAAATCAACAACAGAGGGAGTTAATTTTCAGATCATGCACCATTTACAATACTCCAGTCGGGATACCATGCTGGGCATGTATTTTGCACCTTAAAGACCACCACAGCCACACGGTTTTCCACGTAAAGTTGTGGACAGTTGTTTAAAAGCCCCCAGTAATTTATTTTACTTTTCATTTCCAGGTAGTACCCACTTGCTGCATTTACTCCTCCCATATTTTCTCTCCTTTCTCAGACAAGACCCCTCCCAAAGCTGCGGGAGCCGCTTTCTGTGGAAGCAGCTCTGTTGTCCACGACTGCAACCTCTCCTCTGGTCCCCTGGCTCTCAAGCCTGCCGTGGCAATGCAGCTTGTGCAGCCTGATGGCAGACACCCTGTCCGGCTTTCCTTGGAAGGGGGGATTAATAAAAGTAGATAAGAAATGAAAGAAAAATTAAACCAGCATAAAATACCTGGAAAAGACAAGAACACTTGGAAAAGACAAGAAGGAAAAAAACAGGAAAAAAAGCAGGTTTGGCCACAGGCGTTCAGGGCACTGTGTACTCCAACTGGACGTGAAACGAAGGTTTATATGCCAAGCTGTTGTAAGGAAGGGGAAACGTAAAACAAGTTGGGCATGACTGGTTCAGCAACTTGACATCAAGCGCGCGCAGTTGCACCACAGCCACCTCCACTGCGAGGTTCAGCCATTAATTAGCAGTAGCGAACTGCGATGGAAAGAGAATTGATGCAATAAATAAGATTTAGCGCACACAATATTCTATGTTTGTAAAACACTGTAAAATCTATAGTATTATAAGTTACTGTCTCCACGGTAAGGCCTATGAAGTTATTTTCTCACATTCATTTTTTCTGCCCAAGAGAACGAAAAACAATTAATCTAGCAGAGATGAACAATAGAATACTCCTCTGATATTTTTGAATGTTGTTTAATCGATGATACAATACCATTGAAAACAAAATTCCTGGGAATTTATTTCATGCATTTTATGTATTCTAGGTATGCACAGAAGGACGTCTTATCTTGGAGTTTACTTTTGATGATCTTATGAGAATAAAAACATGGCACTTTACTATTAGACAGTACAGAGAATTAGTCCCACGCAGCATTCTAGCCATGCATGTAAGTAATCCTTTTGTCACTTGACCTAATGCGAAGAGATGAGATTAGGTTTATGAAGAACTCCAGCAAATTTCACACCCAAGGCAATTAACTATAAATATTTTGTTTTGCCTGCAACTACGTCCATTTACAAGTTCTTTCATCACTCCCTTGTTTCTCAGTGCTCTATTGTTGCCACTGTTGCTATGTTTTCATTTTGGTTTAGCACATAGTTTTTCTTTTAATCCCATTTGGTGGTCTGTATGATTTGGGCCCAAAATCTGTTCTTATTGATATGAACTACACTAAAGTCAGTGGATTTGCATCATTGTAGGTATGAATTATATTTAGTCTTTAAATGAAGCAAACTACTTGAATAAAACAGAAAGTAATTACCGTATACGTACTTAGGAACCTTTAGAATTTTAATCCAGATCCTCTTTTTTTTCACATTTTAAGACTTCTTTTGTAATTGAATGAAAACACACACAATAGAACATTAAAATGTTAAATATTCTACAAGTTGAAGTAAAAATATTATGAGGTAAATCATTGCAGAGAAGCAGAGGACAGAGCCACTTTCAGTTCTGCACTGTAGAAGTATTCTGACTAGTGTGCTCCATATACAAAATTAATTGCAAGACTATGGTTTTATAAAGGGTAAGAACACAGACTCAAATATATGCTTGTATTTTGACATTGAACTTAGATATCCATAGGTAAAGATATATTCTTAGTGAGGAACTTTAAATAACTTAAGCCTGGACTTTTTTGAAAATGCTATTACAGGCCTCAAGAAAATACCTTTGCAAACCTGCCCCACCATTTTTGTCCCAGAATTATCTTTCATTTTAGAAGGCTGATCTACTGAACTCTTCAACAGTATCCCATTAAGGGACAATGAGGATGGCCATGAGCAACTTTATGTATTGAGGGGGGCTGCTGCAATTCAAAGGGAATGGAAGCAGGTTAGCCAGCCACCAGCAGGTATTAATTTTAGTAATGAGATTGATCTCATGTTAAAGAGGAGGCTGGTCTCATAGGTAAAGCTCCCGGTTAGGGTCAGTGAAGGACTGTGCTTGCATTTTTCCTGTTTAGAATTAAAATAACTTAGACCAGAGGGTTCTCCAGCCTGTGCTTAATGCTACTGATGTGATCAGCTCTGCTGAAGGTGCCTTGATGAGTTTTCTCTGTTTCAGTTTCTTATCCACAAAAAGAAAGCGATACCTTTATTCCTGCCTTTATCTGCTTAGTCTTTTGGGACTCCCAGCCAACAAATGGAAGGCTCAAAGTGTACTGTGATCCCTCAGGAAGCTCTTTGGTGGGGCCCTGCTCACTTGCACCCCTGTGCATGACTGAACCTCCTATGTCTACCCTTTTGAAAGGGCAGGGACAGAAGAAAGATGTTGGAAAACAGTCTTTATTTTTCAATTTCATAATGTTTTACATTTTCCTGTACAAACAGAACTCTGTAGTTTATTATGTAAAATTAGTATCAATGTGTAATTTTTCCATAGGAGTGGCACCTCTTTTCAAAGAACCCTCCCTGCATTCCACCAAGCACATAGAAGAAAACAAATAGACAAAAAGCAGTGAAAATTCTTTTTTCGTCTGTTGTTTAGGCACAAGACCCTCAGGTGCTGGAGCAGCTGTCCAAAAACATCACTCGAATGGGTCTGACAAACTTCACCCTCAACTACCTCAGGGTAAGCATACCATAGCTGATGATTATTGTGAGCATTTTTTAAAAGTTACTGTTAGCTTTGAGTCAAGGTAATGAGAGCAGAGCCAGTGTCGGTCAGGTAAGAAATGGACCTAACCCTTAATGAGGGTGAAGAAACACAGAGACTGTATCAAAGATGTAGCTGCTAACAATGCGCCATTAAAGAGCATAAGAATTTTATCATGGAGTCAAAGCAGTGTGTGAGTAGCCCCTGTTTTTAACAGTCCGTCTTCTCAGTTTTGAATAATGGCTTTATTTTTTGTAAGCAAGACGTTCCCCACTGTTCCTGAGAAAATGGCAGCTCATTCTTATTATGAGCTGCCTGTCTTCTCCAGCTCTTCGACCTCCCCACCTCTCCCAGGCAGAGGGAAGGCTCAGCTCCAGCCCTTTTTGCAGCAGTCCCTCAAAGCAGTCCTCAATTCACTTGCCTCTGGGAGCCTGAGCTCCCTCCTCAGCCTTGCACTGAATGGAGTGTGGTTTTTATGATTAAATAATGCATTTGTTCACATTGTTTTTTGACCCTTAAAGTGCATTCAAAGTTTGGAAGTTTATTTTTATTTTTGAAAGTGTTCCCTGGTGTGGGCTTACAATGCATACGCTGAAATATGGGTTTGTAGAGTTCATATTTCAAGGTTAAAATTCAGATTTTTCTTACTTCTAGACATGCCATTAGCAGATAAAATGAGGCAATTTGCTCAGTGATACACCAAGCTAACTTGCCCAAGAATTGCCCAAGAATATCTAATTTTATTCCTTTTAATTGTGTGAGTAATATTTCAACATGCTTTTTAAGATAACAAGAACACTAGAAAATGCAGTTATTGTCAGCCTAAGGTAGAGCTGTACTTGACAGTCTATATTTTAGCTGCACGTCATTCAGGTCTATGAACCTTGTAATACCTTCCCTATGGATGGAGTCCCACCCCCAGAGTGTTTTGAACTGCAGGGGGGACGGTGTGCAGGACTGAGCTGTGTGGTGAGATCTCGCTCACTGTATCCCTACAGCTTATAGACAGCCCGTAGTTGTACTTACTATCCCAATATGATAAGCCACTGCTGATTGTTGCTTATGTGCGTTAGTGTAAAAGTTGCTGTTCAAATTATAGTCTGAGTTGTGCAGGGCAGGTCTGCTGTAGCATAACTGGAAGAAGAAGAAGGCATAAAACCTCAGAGGAATAACACATTGCATTGGAATTTTTCAGTGTAGACACTCGAGAGAGTGTAGAGACTCAATATGTCTCTGTTGTGTGTATGTCGTGGTTTAACCCCAGCCGGCAACTAAGCACCACACAGTCACTTGCTCACTCCCCTCCTGGTGGGATGGGGGAGAGAATCAGAAGGGTAAAAGTGAGAAAACTCATGAGTTGAGATAAAGACAGTTTAATGGGTAAAGCAAAAACTGCACATGCAAGCAAAGCAAACCCAGGAATCCATTCACCACTCCTCATCGGCAGGCAGGTGTTCAGCCATCTCCAGGAAAGCAGGGCTCCATCACACCTAACGGTTACTTGGGGAGAGAAATGCCATCACTCCCAATGTCCCCTCCTTCCTTCTTCTTCCCTCAGCTCTATGTACTGAGCATGATGTCATATGGTATGGGATATCCCTTTGGTCAGTTGGGGTCAGCTGTCCCGGCTGTGTCCCGCTGGGGGGGTGGGGTGAGAGGCAGAGAAGGCCTTGACTCTGTGTCAGCACTGCTCAGCAGTAACAAAAACATCCCTGTGTTATCAACACCGCTTCCAGCACAAATCCAAAACACAGCCCCATACCAGCTACCGTGAAGAAAATTAACTCTATCTCAGCCAAAACCAGCACAGCCTATTGTATTCTCATGGTTAGTTTAGTCTGTGGTTTGGTACAGAGAGCGACTGTTGTGCTTTGGCAACACCCCTGTAGCCATGCTGTCGTCGTCTCGTGGTGAGGCATCCTTGAGCACGTTCTCCAGGAATCCCCACTGGCAGTTCCTCCTCAGTCATGCCAAGTTTTGCATTACACCTCCGTGGCAAACAGGGCAGTACGCGGCTGGCTTAGGTAGGCTGTTTCCATGTTTTCTTTCCAAATTGTCCTATGGCACGAGGCATTACCCTGCTTTTGAGGTCTTTGATCCCCTTAGCATGACCAGATGCACCAGCAAGTACTTGGGCTGGCCCGCACCAGCCGCAGTGCTCAGTGCCCGTCCTGCGCGAGGCTGGGAGGGCCGTGCTGAATTTGCAGCGCTGTCTCTATCTGGGAGGGTCCTTGGTGGCATAGTCTGTAACTGCTGAGTGTGGCAATGAAATGGGCACAGCGGGGTCCCTGTTAGGGCACGGGTGGCATCAGGCACCCATGCTGCTCCCCGCATCAACATCAAAAAAAAAAGAAAGGAAGGGGGGGAGGGAGAAAAAAAATCCTCGGAAAAAGAAAACTGGGATCAAGATAAACACTAGGGAGATGAGCAGTGAAGTGGAAGGGGATGAAAAGTCTTACTTTTTTTCTTCTTCCAGACTAGTGTTGTTAGCTTAGCAGACAACATTAGGTCTCTGGGTGCAAAGCTTCCTCTGGCTCCCGCTGTGGTGATTCCAAAAGGAAATCCTTTTTTTCCCAAGCCAATCTTTGTATTTCTCTTTCTTGCAGTGAGGAATTGATCATTCTGCTCTTTTTTTCAGATGTTCAGCTCATCATGGGAGCTCGTATTGGATAATATATTTCCATTTTGATTTACTTCTTTCCCAATTACTTTCTTCTCTTAATTTTAACATGAAAATCTTTTCTGAACTCAGGATTGTAAAATCATGCACTAAAAAATGTGGTAAATGCACTTAGGTGTAAGGTGTTTTGTTTTGTGTTTTTTTTTTTATCAGCATTTTATGATATTTTATTCAGTCTTCCCAGTGTTTAGTAATTAGCACTGTTACATGGTTTTGAATAAGGTTTTGAAACTAAGCATAAAATTATTTTAATTTTTTTTCTGCTGCACACAGCAAAGGCTTGTGATACTCATAAGCAAAAACCTCACTGATGGGCAAAATTAATCATTTTTATTTTCTAACGTGCACACAGCAGCAAGCTGTGCTGCAGTCTCTTTAAAGGCAGAATGTAAACCTGGATTTCAGCTGGTTGTGATATAAAGGTATACACTGGATTTTTTACACTCTAGACATCACAGAATGCTAAATCATTGCTAGTTGGGATTGTTGCAGTTGCTGGCACATAAACTTCTGTTCCAGAGTGCCACATGCCTGTAGAGCCACAGCTTTGGCTGCGTGCCCTGGTTTGTCTTCATTCACTCTGAGTAAAGCTGTCCAGCATAGAAGAACATTGATTCTGTAAATCATATTTAATACAAATTTAACATACATCTTCTTGGAACCTGGAAATGAAATGTTTTGTCTTGTGTCATTTGCCAAATGCTCTTTCCCCCTGTTTTCCCTGGCTCCGTATAAAACCATAGGCTTCCTTTCTTTCTAGTTACTAGTTTGTTTTGTTCCAGCATAATTGATTACCTCATCAATGGGGTCAGCATACTTTGCTGTAGCTGCTGACTAGGAGTTGAATAGGCTGTCTCAGAAATAATGAGCAAAACCTTGTACATTTTAAATTAATATCAAGCTTTTTAAAATGTAATTTCTCATCAAGTCATCAAGTAGTAGATATTACGAACTATCAGATAATAAGGCCAAGACCTATATCCAAGTCTCAGTCAGTACGAGTCCAGGAACAAAGAGGAATCCTGTATAGAGTTAGAAGATGGAGATAACACTCAGAAGAACAGTTTCCACCAAGCTACAATAATTTAGTCCCAACACATTACCTTGGTTTTTTTTTTCGTATGTAATTTTCTAGTTGCTCAGCTATTTTATTTAGATCTTCAATGCATAAGGGATTTGAATGCACTCTAAAAACAATAGCTTTATACCAGTAGCACTACTCACAGTTTGGAGCTCAAATGTTTCTTGCTGCCTTCTTTAAAATGATTTATTCTCTCAAAATGTCTGACATTATTAAAAAAACAGCCCCAACTGTCAGTTAGGCAGGACTACCTGGCCTGACCTGTGAAATATGGTTGTATCTTGCCCAGCTGGTTTTCAAAATTTGTCTCTGCTTTCTCGCACTGGCTGGGTTGGCGTGATGTCTTAGAGCTCTTCCCCGCTCTTGGTGTGGCTCTTGCATCCTCCCCGCGCGGTGGTCTGCGCTGGCAAGCAGCGTATCGGTGTCCACGGAGCCGCGCCTGCATCTGCCCTTTGCAAAGTGAGAGCGTGGCAGAGCCCTCCCGCGCCGCGCCAGGAGAGGGGTCTTGGCTGGGGAGTGCACGCTCCCATTTCCCCTCACATCCTCGGTGGCTATATTAACCAAGGCTTATCTGAGCTACAACTTATCCGATTTGTTTGTTCTCTGTATAAGCCAATAATGAAGTGTTACTCTTGCAACACAGAGCACTGTATTTCTGTATCCCCACTTCCACTGATTTAGTTCCTCACTAGATGCTTTCGGATTTCTTCTGCTAGGAGGATAACATGAATTACTTAATGGGACACAACTTTCTAAAGGCAAAACTTACATTGCAATCAAAAGCCATTTGTATGTATACCCATTGTGTATGTAGAATTTTCTTTTGCACGTGCAAAATAGACACGCATGCAACAGCTTCCTCTAACATGCAGGGAAATTTGGTTTTCTAAATACAGTTTCATGCATGGAAAGGATATGAACTCAAATTATTTGGGACCTAGTTTGCTCTTAACATGTAACAGTTTGTGACAGCTCTCTGGTCAACATTTACAACCGTTTGTGTATCTTCAGTGAAGAAGGAGAAAGATTACATGCAAGTGTGTTAAGAGTGCAAAGTCAGGTTCTCGGGAAAAGAAATGCTATATTTATAGTCAGCCATGCAACACGAATTCACTTCTCTTTGTGAGTTACATTGTGTCATCATCTTCTGACTACGTCATCACGCGCTGTGTTTCGCTCAGTGCCCCTGACGCAGGCAGTGCACAGGGTGACTAG